TTAGTGTATATTTTAGGATGTATAGATTTAGAAGCTAAGAGAATATGGCTAATTATAAATAGCCAACTCCGTTGCTTACGTGGATGATATTGATTTTACGTTTCTGCGATATAATAAGTAACGTCTTGTTGTTTAGTCAGAGGCATTTGACTTCTTCGCAAGAATGAATTGAAAATAATCATTTGCAATCTAATTCATTTTTCAAAAGTTTCTCTCTTAAATGAAAAACCAAGAGTTAAGAGATAATGTATTATACATAATATGGAGGTCAATCAGAATTGAAGAAAATTTTTTGCCTGTATTTGACGAGAGAAAGCTTCAGAATGAATTGAATATATTTTTAAACAACAGAATCCTGTTTCCACGAACGGCATTCGAAGCAGTATGGAAACTCGCAGTATATATAGAGATGGCTGTTCTCGTTCTGGTGCACAATGAGTTTCTTGTTTTCCATTTTTGCTTTTTACCTCGTATTTTATCGAGTTCAATAGAGAGTTCTTCGTGATGACACGCTAAATATAATTATATGAAAAAAAATCATTATTAATCTTTACATTTTTTTTCCAATTCCAATGATACAACTTTAAGAGAGAAATTCTTTTAGGAAAAAAAATATTTTTGGACGAAAAAAAAATGTCTGCATTATTAAAAATATCACTATTTATAATAATTGAACAGCAAACGGTATAATGAACATTCACTGCAGTATAAGTAAAATGTATTTGTGAAACTTACAAATATAACGAGAAAGAATACTGTTATTTTGTTTTATTATTTTTTACTTTGCAGAGTTATATTTTTCAAGCATGCAGGTGTAATGTGTACTATCTACCTGTAATGTATATTATACCTACATTCAAGGTTGCCACAGACCTGGAAAACCGAGAAAAATCAAGGAAAAATGTAAAAAAGTCTGGAATTTTGCTCACAATTCCCTGAATCTGTTCCTATATTCCAAATAATTTTTATAATTTTTTAAATATTATATCTGACGTTTGTAGTCAAAACTTTAAACGATTTTAATAAAATAAATAAAATTTATATTTTATTCAGTATTTTTATTTCCCTCTTTTTCATCATAACTGCATTTTTTTTCCAAAATTAATTTATTTTATGACTTAAATTTGCACGCAAAATTGTACTATGCTACTAAGCTTTTTTTTGCATTGTTTTTAATAATATAGACTAGCTTTTTTGCAATCCTTGAATCTAAATGTTAAAATTTATATATTTTATATTATTTATGGAAAATTTTCTATTTTCATTTGGAAAATCTGGAAAAATCAAGGAATTTTAAAATTCATTTTCTGTGGCAACCCTGTACATTGTACTC